TGTGCGTGTGCGTGTGCGTGTGCGTGTGCGTGTGCGTGTGCGTGTGCGTGTGCGTGTGCGTGTGAGTGTGCGTGTGCGTGTGCGTGTGAGTGTGCGTGTGCGTGTGCGTGTGCGCGTGCGTGCGCGTGTGTGCGTGCGTACGTGCGTGCGCTCGCGTGCGTGCGTGGCGTGCGTGTGCGTGTGCGTGTGCGTGTGCGTGTGCGTGTGCGTGTGCGTGTGCGTGTGCGTGTGCGTGCGTGCGTGTGCGTGTGCGTGTGCGTGTGCGTGTGCGTGTGCGTGTGCGTGTGCGTGTGCGTGTGCGTGTGCGTGTGCGTGTGCGTGTGCGTGTGCGTGTGCGTGTGCGTGTGCGTGGCGTGTGCGTGTGCGTGTGCGTGTGCGTGTGCGTGTGCGTGTGCGTGTGCGTGTGCGTGTGCGTGTGCGTGTGCGTGTGCGTGTGCGTGTGCGTGCGTGTGCGTGTGCGTGTGCGTGTGCGTGTGCGTGTGCGTGTGTGCGTGTGCGTGTGCGTGTGCATGTGCGTGTGCGTGTGCGTGTGCGTGTGCGTGTGCGTGTGCGTGTGCGTGTGCGTGTGCGTGTGCGTGTGCGTGTGCGTGTGCCAGTGCCAGTGCGTGTGCGTGTGTGTGTGTGTGTGTCTGTGTGTTTGTGGGCGGGGGGGGCGGGGGGGGCGGTTGTTTGCCGCGCCTTGCCGCCACGTGTTGTCGCACTGGCACGTCGGCGTGTCTCTTCGCCTTCGTCTCCCCTCCCCGCCCACGCTGCCCGCGTCCAGGCATGCGCATGGCACGGTGGATCCCCTCGGGTGGGTCGATGCCCCGTCTTGTGCGGGGCCGCGCACGCGTCCGCTGCGCTCTATTCTCCCTGCTTTCCGCGCCCCGTCGCTGCGCTCAAGGCCGCGGCGCCAAGCAGTGCTTCTGCGTGTGGATGGGGGGCGGGGGCAGATCTTTTCGCTTGGAGCGACCGAGCTCGGGGCTTCGGGAACGGGGGTCTTGTGGCTCAGGGCCTGGGCTTCGCGCCGGATGGTTCGGAGGACTGCGGCCTCGCAGGTTCAGTCACTCGGAGCGCTTTCGTGACCAGCCTTTGTTTGTCTGGGCTCTCCAGGGGAACCTGTGCGTGCGTGCGCGTGCCGGAGCGTTCGCACGCGTCTGCACACAGAAGCGTACATGTACGACGCGGCATTGACACGCGTCATTGTGTATGTTCGTGTGCACGTGCAGTGCTTACACGTGGTTTCGTGCGCTGGGCGTGTGCCAAAGGCATTTCGTCCAGAGATGCGGGGATCGTTTCTTGCTTGTTTGCTTAACTATTTCACGTCGTCCCGCTTGGCATTGCACAGGAAATCGGCGGGGACCAGGACAAGGAGAAAGCGGAGGGCTTCGTTGCTGAGTGGTTGCTGGAGAAGTCGTTCCTCAACATGAAGAATATTCACTGGTGTGTGTCGATAGGCTACGTGGCCATACCGGTGTCGTCCTTCCTTACTATGACGATGGCTCGAGAGTGGAGTGTGCGAGGTGCTGATCACATCCCGTCATGGATACTCTCGATGCGATGGTTCAAGCCTGTCTTTGGGGATGGCGGCATAAATGCCCACCTGCTCAATGTGATGCTCTTCGTTACTTTCAGCCTCAGTATGGCGATCGGCGGACCAATTTGGGCGCAGTTGGCTAGAACCCAGCAGCCGCGGAAACTTCTGGCGGCTGGTTTTCTTTTGCAGTTGCCGTTCATTCTCACAATATTGCCGGCCAAGCCTACAGTAGTTAGTTCATTGGTTCTTGTATTTTCGAGCGGCCTAGTCTCATCTTGCGGGCTTCTCTTTGTGGTCATGAACTTCATGATGTCGATCACTGGAGATTTGACGCAGGCTGCCCTTCGCATGGGCAACATTGAGATGGCCCGCTACTGTGCCAGCTGGCTTGCGGCTGCATACGTCTTCCTTGCGTCCCCGTCGTCTATCGAGGGCACTCGGGGAACAAAATGATACCGACACCGCTCCTACCCAGACCTTTCTCGGAGCGCTGTCTGACTGGGATATCGAAGCGAACCCCGCCGTGCTAACGAGGGCCCCGCAGGCAGAAGTTTCAGAATGCCCAATCCATGGAAGGGAATCGGTATCGCTGTGCTTCCCCCCTCTTTGAAAATCGGGCGCGGAAGCCCGCTCAAGATTTGTACTCGGACCCAGGATCACCCCAGGGTCCAGGCTGGCCGGTCTGTTGCCCCAAGCTGTCGTCCGAAGGCCCCGGGGCCCGGCAATCATATTTCCAGGTGTCGGAAACGTTGAAACATTGAGATCGTCGAGTGTGTGTTTCGAGGCACAGAGACCGTAGCGATGCCCATCAAGATCGCGCTGGTCATGCTGCCGCTCGCCATGGCGGTGGCCGGGCTGATGGCTGTGCCGGGCGGCCTCTTGTTGCACGCGCCGGGCCCATACCGCGACGACATGTTGCCGGGCTGGGACCTCGGAAAGCTGGGGAACAGGAGTCCAGGGGCCAGAGAAACGGTGCAGCCTTCGGAAAAATATTCGACGATCAATATTTCGAAGGCCTTACGGCCGGTGCCGCCGACCCTGAAGGGGAACGACGACGGCGGCGGCGGCGGCGGTAGCGACGACGACGATGCTGACGTGGGTTGAGTCCTCAAACGTGCTTCTTGGGTTTCTTCCGAGCGCTCTCGGGGGCCTCTGGGGGGATGTTTGGGGGCCTCTTGGGAGCCTCTTGGGGCCTCTGGGCTTCCTGGGGGCCTCTTGGGGGCTTCTCGGGGCTGAGGGCTCGAAATGTCCGTTCGGGTCCCCCGTCTGAGCACTCTCTTGGAACCGTCTTGGGGGCCTCTTGTGCCGTCTTGGAGCCGTCTTGGGGCACTCTTGGGCCGTTTGGGGACTCTCTTGGAGGCCTCTTGGGCCGTCTCGGGCCGACCTTGGAGGCCTCTTGGGCCGTCTTGGCGCGTGGGGAAGCGGAAGAGGCGAGAACGCCAAAATTCTTGAAACTCGCATGGGAAATCCATGATTTTTGCCTCTTGGTGCTCTCGTGGGAACGGTCCTGGAGGCCTCTTGGGGCGTCTCGCAGGCCTCTTGGGCCGTCTGGAGGCCGTCAAGGCGTCTTGGACAGATCATTCGGCGATTCGGGGCCCTCTTGGATCGTCTTGGGGGCCTCTTGGGGCACTCTTGGCCCGTCTTGGGGCTTTTTGGGGCTCCGGGATTCCCCGGGGGGGCGGGGTAAAAACCCGGGACCCCCCGGGACCCACCTCGGGACCACCCCCCCCCCCCCCCGGGCGGGGAAGGGATCAAAGGGAAGGGGCTTCCCTTCGACTCAATTACGACGTTGCTCAATTTCGCTTTGGACTGGCACGCTTCAGGAGGAGGTCCTGGGAGAGGGGTAGAAGCAACGATGCTGTGGGGAAAGGGGAAGGAACGACGACGACGACGACGAAGAGGGAACAGACGGAGAAGCCTCTTCCACACGCCGACAGGGTCTTCTCGTTGTTGCCGACGTCTGGAGGCAATTATAGAGACATGGAAGAATCACCCCAGGACGAAGAACTCAGCGGATATGGGCTCCCGGAGGGCTCTGGGAACCGATTGTGACCACACGTTGGCCAGGAGGTTCAGAGAAACACTTTTTTGATCCACGGGTCGAGAGCGAGCCTCTTCCCGTCGAAGCTAAGCGGGCCGCACACAGCTTTAAGTGACAGAGGTGGGAAGGCAGAAGGAGGGGCCTCACGTCAAGGCCAAGAGAGGGCAGAGCTTCAGAGAAACACATGCCGACACCGCTCGCTTTGGGATTGCTGCGCCTCCCGGGTGGCCCTCGGTCGCCACTGCGGGGTGCGCCTCGCAATCCTGGCCAGACGCGTGCCATGAGAAGTCCGAGGAGCAGCGGCATCGGCATTTTCACCGAGCGCGTTCCACCACTCGCGCAGCGTCTGCTCGCAGACGTCCGAAAAGACACCTGCTCGCCTGGATGTAATGGGCCGTGCATCCCCCGCGGCGGATCCAGGCCATCTGCGAGCAGCGACTCTGCGAGTAGTGGGACGCGCCTGTCTGCACGCGTTTGCTCCGCCATCCCACTCCGTCTTTCAGGAGGGGAAAGAACACACAGGCACAATGAATCGTCGACTCCCCCGAAAATATGGGGACATATGGGAATTGGGGGGAAGACCAAAACCCAGAAAATATTGGAAATTGTCTGTTTGGGAATGGAGAAACCCAAAACCCAGAAAAATATAGGAAAATATAGGAAACCAAGACCAAAACCCAAATATGGGGAATCCTGTTATTTGTGTCTGTTTGTTTGTTTGTCCCCAAGGCCTCTTCCGCCTTCCCGACGCGGGTGGGGCCGAGGGAGACGGAGGCGGCCGAGTGGCACGGCGACGGGGGCAGAGGGGGGCAGAGGGCGGGAGGAGGGGCGTCGCTTCACTTTAAGGGTAGCTCTTTGGGAGATGTTATATAGAATCGGGAGTATAGCTCGCGCGCCGCTGCCTTTGGCTCAAGGCACGCGCGCCCTATTTGCCCGGACACTGCTTGTGTTCGCTATGTGCTGGAAAGATCATTACATCGATACTATCCTATCTTATCCGTCCATTTCTCTTACTGAACCACCTCAGTACGATACCGGACGCTATTTGCCATCCGCTTCCCATGGAATCGGATGCTATTTGACTTACCATAGTCACTTCAGACTGCTTCCAGGGCTCGAACTCGACGACGTTTTGGCAATGTCGTGGACCGTTTTCGTTTTGGCTACGCTTTGCAGCAAGATGTGGGGCGAAGACAGGACTAGGGATGGCGAGAACAAGACGAAAACGGAGAACACTGTTTAACTCGAGCCCTGGTCGCTTCCGTATGCTCCGCCCTCCCCCCCCCCCGTTTTCCAGACCCGGTGGGGCGCAGAGGACGCCTGGCATCGCTCGGGCGTGTGCGTTCTCTCTCGGCGGGACCCCCCCTGGGACCCGGGAGCGTTTGGGATCCACCCGCGAGAATGTACACGCATGAAGCCGCGAAATGCACAGGGAATGAGCGTCCGAGCGATGGGGGCGGCAGCACTGAATGGGGAGGGGGCGGAAGGGGGGAAAGGACACAGGGCGGGGGAAGGGAGGGGGAGCTGGGAGGGAGGGAGCAGCGGGAAGGTCGCTTGTTTGGGGTCGACCTTGGTCAGGGTGTCAGTTTCGATCTCCGCTCCTGCTGCCAGGCCATCTCGTGCCAGACGTCCTCTCCCCACTGCGCCAGCCTCTCGGTGTCGGGGCCCCCCGAGCCCAGATGCCCGACGCCGTGAGAGCACCCCAGCGTGGCACCACAGCTGCACCGTCGCCATCAGCTCAACTGCACCTCGAGGGGGGGAGGAGGGGGAGGGGGAGGAGGAGGAGGAGGAGGAGGAGGAGGAGGAGGAGGAGGAGGAGGAAGACAGAGGAGGAGGAGGAGGAGAAGGAGGAGGAGGAGGAGGAGGAGGAGGACCCCCCTCCAACTCGTGTGCACTGGCCGGGGAGGCCGGGCCCCGAACCCCCCCCCCCCCCCCCGGGAGGGCCACAGACCGCCTCGGACGGCCCCACGGCGGCCCAGACGCGACGTGCGGAGGCCCTGTTCCTATGGGCCTCCTGGACGTCGGCGGCGAGCGAGGGGGGAAAGTGAGGAGGAGGAGGAGGATTTCCCTGACCTTCCAGAGAGCTACTTTTTAGCACGGGAGGCCTAGAAACCTAAACAACGAAAGGAAACAGCCTAAAACCAAGACATAGAATAGCTCTGGGATCGGCTTTTAAGTCGCGTGTTATTTTTTAGGGAGCCGCGGAGGGCCCGCCACAGGGCGAAGCCGAAGAATCGGGGAGGGGGCAAGGCGGGCCACCGGAGACCGAGGGCAGCCTCCATCGCCTCCTCCTCCTCGTCCTCGTCCTCCCCCTCCTCCTCCTCGTCCTCCTCCTCCTCCTCCCCCTCCTCCTCCTCATCCTCCTGGAAGGTCAGGGTTCTCGGGAGGCGGCGGGACTTCTCCGAAGGCCTCCGGCCTTCTGCGGAGTCCTTCTGTCTTCGGGGAGGGCTCGGAGAACTTCTCAGAGGTCCCGGGAACTTCCTCCTCTTCCTCTTCCTCCTGTTCCTCCTCCTCCTCCTCCTCCTCCTCCTCCTCCTCCTCCTCTCTCTCTCTCTCTCTCTCTCTCCTCCTCCTCCTCCTCCGGAACTTCCGAGCCTTCTGAGAAGGCCTTCTCCCTCTCGCTTCCCCCCTGGGCGCGCCGCCGAGGATGGGGTCGGAGCAGATGGGGTCGGAGGATCGCTCCGCATCGCCGACGCATCGGCGACGCGGCTCGATGCGGAGCCCGATTCCTTCCGCGCCGGCGTCGACGATGCATCGCCGGTGCATCGCCGATGCATCGCCGATGCGGCGCGATCCTCCGACACCATCTACTCCGATCCCATGTATGGGGCCTCTACCCAGGGGACCCGCGAAGGCCCCGTTGTGATCGGAAGACGGCCAAAACGGGCCAAGCACAGCCCACGATGGCCCCAAGATGGCCGCAAACACGACCCAGCAGGCTCACAAGACGGCCCAGAGGGGGGCCCCAAGAGCAACCCCAACAGGCATCCGAGAGGCAACAAGTTTGGAGCTTCCAAACGTTTGGGAATAATTTCCGTTTCCGAGCTTCCAAGACAGCCCATTGGCCCCTCCCGCAATCGCCTAAGAGTCATCAAAAGGTGCCCAAGAGGTGCCCAAGACGGCCCAAGAGAGGCCCACGACGGCCACGGAGGGGGCCTGGCTAAGCTCCACAAAGCCAAAGGGGGCCCCAATACAACCCATTAGGGCCCCCAGAGCGTCCCGAAACTAAGAAGGCCCGAGAAGGCCCCAGAGGGCTCCACATGGCCCATCAGGCTCCCAAGAAGCCCTTAAAATAGATTCAAGAGATTCTCAGGAGGGGCCCACTCGCAATCCTGGATTAGCGCAGCGACGTTCAGATAATGTGTGTATATATATATATGTAGTATGTATATATATGTATGTATGAGTGCCTATCACGCATATGAACGTGTATACTTACATAGTTGCGCATGTGCGTACACACGCGCGTACATGCATGCATGCATGCATACATACGTATAATCAGTGAACACACACCTATATATTCGAACACATACACATACACATACACATGCATACATGCATGCATCTATACGCACATGTATGTGTATGTATGTATGCATTTGCATGTGTGTATATATACACATACATATATACATGCATATCCATACACATACACATACACATACACTTATACACATAGCCATATAGACATGTATGCAACACTAATCATATATACACATGACGGTATACACACACCTAAGCATGAAACTACACACTCACATTTACAAGAGCATATTCATGCACACGTGCATATAGGATATGTCTAAATGTATGCATGCACATGTGCACATACATGTACACATGCAAATGCATGTACGTGTACATGTACATGTACATGCGCATATGTTGAAGATATCAATTGATCCCCC